CATTTGTTTTAATAAATGAGCAAAGAGGATGTGGCGAAAGAAAATTTGTCATGTTGAATGATTGCTTGTTGTTTCATTCTTTTTCTATTTCTTTTAGTTACGAAGACGAAGGACGTGTAAAGAGAAAAGAAAAAGGTAACAACAACGTTTTGATCAGATTTTTGGCTGGATTGAAAAGAAAAAAGAACAAGCACACATGTGTATTAATGATTCTTTTCTTTTCAAGTAAACGAGTACTTGCTTTCTCTCAATTCAAAATACGATTACTTTCTTGATTGGCAAATCAATGAACATGCGACAATTGCATGTGATGTAGATGAATTAGATAACCAAACCCATATTCACCCACTCTTACGATGATTTTGTCAGGAATATCATCATTCTTGCACTGCAATCATATTCGAACAATCCTCACTAAAGATACCGAGAAAGAATAAACTTGAAAATATCGAAAAATAAATGTGAGCCCAACAATACTATTGATGGCTCAAATTTCTGTTATACTTATTCGACATCTCTCTTGCTAGAACAAAGCTATCATACAAAATGATTTGTACATTTTTTCAATTTATAAAGAAATATAATCATCTTACAATCACTTTTTCATAGAATTAAATACGTCTACAAAAATATTCCTATTCAAGAAAAGTTATAAAAAATATGAATAAATAAACTTAACCCCGTATAAATGAAAATTTTGAAAATAGTGTAATTTAATATCATAACAATAATAATCAATTTCATCGAAGGTCATTAAAGATTAAAAACCATGAATGCCGTATATTGTTTTCTGTCTAGTTGACAATATCATCAAACAGATAAATTCATGGAATTTAAGTTCAAGTCAGGAAAATATTTTTCTCTTATGGCACAAAAAGAACATTGAACAAATGTAACAACTTGTATTGTATTCAGATAAAAAGTCTATTAGTATAACAATTTTGTAATGGAAAATGTGACTAGATTTTTTTTCTGTTGGTTTTGTTATTAAAGACAGTATCAAATATTTTTTTACTACAACGATAGCTATGTGGACTTTGTTACCATCGATGAAAAAAAGGATTGAAAGTACATTTACGCATCGTATATAAGACTAAGAAGCATTTCATCAAAATTTTGTCATATCGAAACGACAGTAATAATGGTAATAATCATCGTTTTTGCTCTTTTGGCTTTTCACAGGTAAAGAATATCGTATTCATTTATCATTTTATCTAATATTGAAGTGATTTTCTATTTTAGTTTAACAGGTTTGAATTTTATTTTTGATATACATCTATTAACCATATAGAAATCCTTTAATTCTTCTATATAGTATTTGGAACAACACAACCACTAATAATTTTTTCCAAGTATTCAAGTGAATTAACATTGAATAGTGGAATATATACTCGTAATGGAAGTTCCGGAGTAAATTATTATTATGAAGCAACTGAAGTACAAGTAAATACAACAGGAAATTATACATTCACAAGTTCAAGTTCTATTGAAGATACATATGGTTATCTTTATCAACGAAATTTTTATCCATCTGCTCCTTCATACAATATTGTTTCAAAAGATGATAACACTGCTGGAAATGGTCAGTTTCAAGTGACAGCTGCTCTTCGAAGTGATACAAAATACATTTTAGTATTTACAACATTTCATGAAAACAATACCGGATCATTTTCAATCCTTACATCTGGACCAGATAATGTCTTTAATCCAATAGAAGTTTTATCAACAACAACACCAATGCCTAGTGAGTAGCTGCAATTCAAACAAATGATAACAAGCTCATTTAATATATCACTACTGCTTTTTTGAGTACTGATAAAATCGATATGAAAGAAAATAACGTTTTTTAATCGCTAGAATGTCTTTACTTATCTAAAACGACATAGAGGCGTATATTGGCTCATTTTTAATGCAAATTATCTAAACGAAATTCAAATGACTTTACTTAACCCTTACTAATAATAAAAATGCTTGTTTCTCGCGATATTAATAATATATTTCTGCTTTTTTTTTGATTTAGTATGTGACACATTCGAATTCAAAGAACAGCCAATGCTTAATACATCTGGTACAGCTCCTCAATCAGCAATATCTGCTGATTTCAATAATGATGGCCATTCGGATCTAGCAGTCACTAATTATGATACAAATACTGTCTCAATTTTCTTGGGTATTGGTAATGGATCGTTTCAGTCACCTTCGATGAATTTTTCTACGAAAGGAATCAATCCATATTGGCTTGTCGCTAATGATTTCAATAGTGATGGAAATCTCGACTTAGCCATAACCAATGAACAATCAAATACTGTCGCCATTCTTCTTGGTCTGGGCACCGGCTCGTTTCAGCTGCCAGCTATAACTTTAGCTAGTGGAGGATCTTTACCGTCCTCGATCATCGCTACTGATCTCAATAACGATAATAAAATCGATTTGGTTGTAACAAATACTGGCTCTGACAATATCACAACCTTCTTCGGTATAGGCAACGGTACTTTTCAACTTCCTGGAAAATCTTATACAGCTGCTTCATTGCCTTCGTCAATAACGAGCGGCGATTTCAACGGTGATGGCAACATCGATCTAGCCGTAGTAAGTCGTGGCAGTAATAAACTGCTCATTTATTTCGGCCTCGGAAACGGAACTCTTTGGTCCAACTTCACTAGTTATACGACAGGGTTATTTCCTTATGTTGTTCGTTCAGCTGATTTCAATGGTGATTCAAAACTAGATCTAGTTGTTGGTAATTTTTATTCCAATTCGATAAGTATTTTTCGAGGCACCGGTACAGGTACATTTATCATGGCGTCTCCTTCGACATACCCTACAACTGGCGCAGGCCCTATCGATATTGCAATTCAGGATCTGAACGGAGATGCAGTAGTAGATTTGGCGGTAAGCAATCAGATTGGCAATACTATCACCGTATACTTGAGCAATGGAAACGGTACTTTTCAACAAGGAAAAAATTATTCATCAACGGGAAAAAAATTACAATCGATTATCGCCCAAGATTTTAACGACGATGGAATGTATGATTTGACTGTAACTAGTCAAAATACCAACGCGTTGGCCATTCTTTTAACACAATGTATTCGAAATCCATTATGTTCTCTCATTAATATAATCTAGTTAAGAAAGTTTTCTTAATTTTTGCTTTAGTATTGATCTTTCTATTACTATGGGTACCTTCGTTCACAAACAAAAGTAAAACAGATCGGTCATATAGACAAAACACTGTCATCTTTTACGTATGCATTTGAGATGTTCTACATTCATTTTCTTATACAATCTATTCAGTGATACATGTAGGATGTGGGTATGGTTTCGAATGAATATTACACATAACATAACATACACTCGCACTCTTAATATCGGATCGATCGCCCATTATAAAGATATGAAGGTGTCTTCTCATATAAAACATAAAAACACAGCGTTTTATATTGGCTTAACTTTATTACTATCTATGCTTGTGTTATATACACAAAAATAAAAAACGTTGATAAACAGATATGAGTTTGTTTTCGGTCTCAATTTTTCAATTCTTTTAAATACAAAAATGTAATCATATACAAAAAACGCATGTATATGAATTAGCGTTGGGTTTATCTGAATATTTTGTTCTCAGTTTTTGCGTTTGCAAATCTTTCGAATACACAGCTAAAACTACATGCATTGCTATTGTTTTGTTCATTATCAGGGTTGACCTTATTTACAGCCATCGGCTTCTGCATTCGTTTATATTCCTAGGCATAGATTTTTTTAATTTTTTGCTCGTAGTAGAAACAGAACGGTAAAATAATTGACTATTAATTCTTTCTTTCCTAATATTTACACATAATCTAATCGTATTGAATATTTGCATATACTTTAGAAGAAAGAGCATAACTCACTTCGTATACTTTATTAAAAAAGAAAAACAAGTATCGACTAGGGTGCGGGTGTGGGTGTTCGTGTGAATGTGGGTGTTGGTATGAGTGGGTGTGGATTTGGGTGTGGGTGTGAATACAAGAAGAGTATAGCATTCACACGTACACCCATTCCACCCTCATCCCTACGCTTAAGTTGATAACCATCTGAGTTAATAGTCATCTGACTTGGAGATCAACTGGTTTGATATCATGGATTAATTATCCAAAATAAAATTGTTGCCTATAAGGTCGGTTATATGCAGTTTGTATGAGCTTTTCTTGGCAAATCTATTCGACCACAATCGATTTGATGAAGTTTATTTTAGACGAATCTCTATCGGTGAAGGTAGACTGGATGATTTTATTAGCTCGACTCATGCCACTTCAATAAACAAATATGAATTGTTAATTTCAAGCTTTACAATTTTCTTTTTACCTCGACGCTTTTTATTATAAATAACTACCAGAATTAGTATTTTTTTTTATTAAAAAGGAAGTAGCATGGCTTGTTCGTTCTCCTTTTCTTCTCTTTTTTCATCGATTGAATAGGTAATTCAGTAAAGTTGTAGTTTATAAATAATTGTTTTTCTCTTCACAAACATAATTGAATTTTTAATCGATGACTATATATACTGAAAGGAAGTGCATTTCGTGATTTTTCTATAAAAAAAAGAAAAAAACATTTTAGTCGGTAACTATAAATTTGGTCGACTCTCATTCGATTATTTCACAACGCTTATATAACAAACGTAACGAAAAATAAAAGAAGAAAAATATTCTTTACTTAACAATTCATATTATTATATCTCAAAATGGCGAAAATTTTGAGTTCAAGCTGTATATTTTTATTCTATGTATTAACTTTGGTGTAAGTATTGATTATCAAGTTCTACATGTTATATACTTTTTTTTATCTTTTTCAACGATAGAAATTTATCAGCACAAGAACAGCTACGTAATTAATAATAATGACTATTATTTTTCTCTATTTTCTTATTATTTATTTCTTAGTTAACTCAACAACAACAGTAACATGTAATTTTACTGCATGTAATTCTCAAGGAGTACCATGTTCATCGAATCTTGACTGTGATTGTTTTTCAATAACATCCAATTCGAATATAGGAATATGTGCTTTAACTACTCTCTCCTGTGCAAGTTTTATACGATGTAATACGGATAATGTAACTTGTTCAATGAAGAGTACAATCTGTGTGAACAGTACACGATGTGGTCAACCAATATGCTATCCATTAGCTATGGCAATGAAACAAATATGTCCACCAAAGACTGTTACAAGTAAAAAAGATTTCTAATAACTATTTTAGTTTTATTTGTCTTTTTACGATCTAATATGGAAAAGAGACATTTGGCACCGACTTTTTTTACGATTTCCCTGAGGAGATTTTGTTACGATTTTTTGACATATAAAAACATACGAAATCTTCGGGGTGAAAAAAATTTAAAATAAACAGCGTGTTCGGTTGGGTGTGGGTGTAAATATATATACCATTCTTCACTCATACTACACACCCACACCCATATATTCATCTGATTTCCTCACAATATTTTATGTATTGTCGAGTATTTCGTTCCGATTTCCCTGATTATTTTAAATTATGGTGTCCTAATCAACATGTTTTACGGACTCTCGGTGAAAATGGTAAAAATAATAACCAATTCCAAACACCTGCACGGATCTCCAGGTGTCGGAGGCACTTAGTACAAAATGTCTTTGTCCCTCTGATATTGTATTGTCTAAATATATAAACATGTAACTTCTAGGATGGTTCTATACTGGTAATATGACTAATGCGCGATATTTTCACAAAGCATCTGTATTATTAGATGGGAACGTATTAGTTACTGGTGGATACGGTAACAACGGTACTTTAACTAATGCAGGGCTGTATGATCCATCAACAGGCACTTGGACAACTAGTGGTAACATGAGTACAACACGAGCGTATCACACAGCATCTGTATTATCAAATGGGAAAGTATTAGTTACTGGTGGGTTAGGCAATGGTGATCTTTTAAGTAGTGCTGAACTATATGATCCTTCAACAGGTACATGGGCAACTAGTGGTAATATGATTAATCTACGATATTATCACACAGCATCTGTATTATCAAATGGAAAGGTATTAGTTACTGGTGGTGCACCCAATGTTGATTTAAATAGTGCTGAGCTCTATGATCCATCAACAGGCACTTGGACAACTACTGGGAACATGATTAATACACGAAATATTCATACAGCATGTGTATTATCAAATGGAAAAGTATTAGTTACTGGTGGATGGAACGGTAATATTGGTTTTTTAAATAGTGCTGAATTGTATGATCCATCAATAGGTACTTGGACAACTACCGGGAACATGACTAATGCCCGATATTATCACACAGCATCTGTGTTATCAAATGAAAAAGTATTAGTTACTGGTGGATTCGATGGTGTTAGTACTTTAAATAGTGCTGAGCTGTATGATTCATCAACAGGTACTTGGACAACTACAGGTAACATGACTATTGCACGATCTGATCACACAGCATCTGTATTATCAAATGGAAAAGTATTAGTTACTGGTGGATGGAATGGTAGTGATGTTTTAAATAGTGCCGAACTGTATGATCCGTCAACAGGTACATGGACAACTACTAGTAACATGACTACTGCACGATATTCTCACACAGCATCTGTCTTATCAAATGGAGAAGTATTAGTTACTGGTGGTTCAAACAATACTGTTAATGTTTTAAATAGTGCTGAATTATATTAATTATTTCAAACAAATTAACTTTCAATTGTCTTACTCTTTTTCTTACAAGTAGCTCAAATTCCAAACAATACTTAAGTTAGAAGAGTTTTAATTTTTGAGGTCCCTGAACTGTTTTCTTGCATACTTTTACTGAATTATCACACACTTTAATGTTCTATCCCAAATAAAGAAATATATCTTTTTTTCTGCTCTTATAAATTAGTTTATTATGATTAAAAAAACGTAAAATTAATACGCTAAGTTTAATTATTCTTTCAAATTTTCTCTTAGTTTTGCAGTATCGGTTTGCTTAATATTTAATTATTTTGATAGTATTCATCGGATTTAGAATATATAATTATTGAAACATTTTGGTTACAAAACGACTTCGAAGGAAGTTCATGAATGCTAGAAATGAACAAATCTGTAAATAACAACAACAAATAATCTAAAATTAAATCTGTGATCATATCAGATATACGAACTAATGAGAATGAGGACGTTGATGTGGTAAGCAAAATGCTTATATTCAACCTAGCTTATTTTCGCACGAATACGTATTTTAATGAAAGAGAATAGAAAAAAAAATAGTTTTTATATAATATATCTTTGTGATCACTAATTATCTTATTCTTAAATTAATTGATTCTAAGCACTGCAAAAAAATCAAACTGCTTAGTACAGTATATCTATCCAGAAGTTCTATTGAAATATTAAAGCAAAATTGTGTACAGATCTACTTTTTCTTCGTCATTTTCATTTATTTTTCAAAGTATGAAACTATTCAACTTTGACTCTGAGATTCTTTAGCAGCCTTGCTTTTACATACACACACCTGGTCTCTCTAGAAGCAACAAATCCGAAAATAAGAGTAAACTGATAGCAGTGGAAAACATCGAGATAAAATCATAATAAGTAGAAAGAAGATTCGCTTATTAGATACCAGTCGATGAAATATAACATTGTCTTTCAATACATGGCTGTCGCACAAGTGTTGGATATCTACGTAATAAAATAATACTATTACAAACCATCTCCATTTTCTATGAAACTTGTTTGTAGTATGTTGTTCTCACGCATGTTGCTATTTCTCAATAGAACTCAAGGAGCTCTATCAAACAGACTCGACTTGAGTAGGGGTTGATTTCGTACTTTCATATGTGCTCCAGAAATAATACGTTACAAAATCTCATCAATATACAAAAATGAAACGGTTTCATGACAATAAAACGTTTTGTCGTGTTTTTTTTCATATTAGATATGCACGGAATGAAATATATTTCCAATCGACATCAAATTCTGACCAAAACAAAATGGTTTATTCTTCAAAATATTAGTTTTGACTTTTTCTGAAAATCACTAATAAAAAATGCTCAAAAAATCATCTTCTCAGGCCTCGACAAAAACTATACTGTTTAATGTAGAAAACAATGCTGATGAAAATTAGATGACTATATTGATATAAGCTGCCATTTTCGAAAAAAGAATAAAATTCCGTAATGGTCAATAT